GAAATCATCACAAGCACTCCGTACTTACCATTTTTCCCATAAGGATTCTTGCAATCCTCGCATCGACAAAATAAGGAGCATCCAGTCCCATCCTGTTCACACGAATCAACTTGAGAATAAATTTGCACCCGAAAGATATAGTAAAGTGTTTGGAGCTAAGATGGAACCTGGTAGCAATCACAGTATTTCTTTAGGCAACTTGATTTCTTGCAATTGCAACCTCGCCTTGGTGGAGTTGAAGAAGAAGAATTGTGTGCATCTTCCTGCAGGTGACAAAGACATAGTATGGAAATTATTGTTATGAGCCAAAGGGAACTTAGAAAATGCAACATCGTCTAACTGAGTCAAGAAAACAACCATAGTTTCAGCATTAGCCTCCAGTCTTCTATTAATTTTCAGAGACATCCGTTTCTGACGTGAAAGTAGCACCTTGCGAGTGGTCTGAACTGTCTCTGCAAAATCAGACTTGTTGAAACATGGCACGCATCCACATTTTTCAGAACAATAACCTCCACCAGCAAAACATGGACAATACCTGCATACGCAGATAATCATGATTTATGTTAATAGTTCGTTACAAATCTTAGCTCATAAAAAATATCGGCACATACATGTATAGATACGATTTCATTTAAACTAATCATTAAAGAAAAAATTAGACCAGCAGGGGGAGGAGCCCCTGTGGTTTTTTAATTAAGAAGGAATTTTGTGAGACACACGTCCAATACCGTGATATTAACCAGGATGGTTAAATGACGGCCACTGGGATCAAACCCGCGCCGGCGGGAATGCGCCACTGCACTCCCACCACTGGGGCTAGGAAACCATCCACATTTAAACTAATCATCATATACTGATAAACATTTTCACCAATATAATGTGTCCCAGTAGATGAGAAACGACTTGGGATTCTAAAACACTTCGATAGCAAAATCTGAGTCATTTTTTATCTACTGGAACACATTATAAGCTGCTTAGTCTGGCCACACAGATATAATCTGCTCCATGAGCTATGTTTCAAAGGAGGAATTGAGGTAACTTAGGAAGCGGAATCGCAGTATAATCAAATAGCGCACAAACGAATGCTAAAACAAGTGATGCACTCCCCATCATGAAAAACTAATTCTGAATTTGGGAACCTCTGCAGCAAGCACATATATCAGGAAAATAATTTCCTTAATTTCTCACTGCATGCTACGAGAGGCAAGCTGCTACGAGTTCACTAGAGAACCCAGCATACCAAAGGGATTTTTGAAACTGAAGCAGATATGTGACCAGGATATCAAATTAGACAGGATGATTAAACCATCCCACCCTCGCGCAGATGCCCCTCTCTAGCACCTAAACGGAAGCAAATCTGAGCAGCGAAACCGCACGGCACCCAACATTTCAAAATTGGCCGTCCCTGTCTAGAAACCCGAAGCACCGGAGGCGAAACAGGGCACATCCTAGGGCCCGGCGGCGAAATCGGAAGGGACAGGGGGGCTGCTTACAGCTTCAGGCATCTGGACTTTTTGCAGGCGCAATGCTTGCACCCATCCGCGGCGTCCTCCAGCTTCTGCCTGCTCAAACAACAAACGTCCGCCTCAGTCAGATCAGCCGGCCGGATAACCCCCGGCGAGACGCCGGAACCGGGGAACGGAGACGCACGGGGCCGGGGCGGGGGGGACCTCACCTCTTGGGCGTGGTGGCGAGCGCGAGCTGGTTCATGCTGGTGGGATCCGGCAGCGCGTCGGGGC